GCAGGAAGGAAGGAAGGAAGGAAGGAAGGAAGGAAGGAAGGAAGGAAGGAGGCTCAGGACTTGATATCTACAAGGCCACATTCTCTGGATTGGATCTACCCACCTAGTGAGACTGGAAAGATCGTGAGGGTTCCTTCTCTGAGGGAATACTACCTATATGGACCCCAGGAACAGAGCCTTCTTGGTAATGATTGCTTTGAAACAGATGACTCCTCAATATCCAGACATCCTCCACCTTATTTGGCTTTTGAAGGGCCCTAAAGATTTGGTTGATTAAGAAGCCATTTGGGGATATGCATATTTAGCCCACCACTGTGCAATGGCTTGGTATGGTTTGTGGGATTTTTTATTTTTATTTTAATGGTTACTGTAGTGTTCTGTAAGCCACTTAGAGTCTCTGGGTATTGGGCAGTACAGAAGCATTAGTAAATAAATAAGATAAATATTGGTATCAGTATATCAATGCTTTTCTACACTACAGATAATTCCTATTTTCTTTTTGTAATCTTTGCAAACAAAGTAAACTAACCATACAAACTTATAATGAGAAAAGAATCCTGATGAGATCCTACTGTGCAGAGAGGATGCAAAAGCAACTGCTGCTTTTGTCTTTACTGTTTATGTAAACTAAACAGATGTTTTAGTGTGCATGGACAATGGTTGTGGACTATAGAAGTGTTCCGAAGAGAACTGTTAAGAGCTGAGCATTGTTCTCAACAACTCATTTACCTTGTCTGCATCTACTTTTCCTCTGATGAATTCAGATTTCCAGAACTGCAGAGCTTGCTCTAATGTTAAGCCAATGCCCTTGAGAAATAAGCCATATTGCATACGGCCTCCATGACGGAGATGATGGTTCTCACGCAGCGCTTTGTGGAGCTGGCGCATGCAGAGAGGAAATGATTTAACTGAAAGCTGCAACAAGAAAACTTGTATTAATGATCTGCTGACTACATTAGCTTACAGGCTGTATTTTGATCACCAACCAGAAAGATGAAGAATTTGAGAAGAGAACATATGCATAGATTACAGGAACTAAGGAAACACTCTATTTCACAATTTCAATATACCATAAGCATTTAGATCTAACTTCTTTTTTGTACAAATGCAAGATTAAATGGAGAACAGATGTTAAAAGGTATTAAAATTTTATTAATTCTAGTAAAATACATAAATCAATATGGGTAATTAATCTAGAGTCTGATTCTATTTTGATAGTATCTTTACTGTCCCTCCCTCTAACATATTCTAAATTAATGTCACAGATATCAGTTATCTGGGGCTATTTTTCTATTCATTTAAAGCTGTTTACCATTATTTATTTGAAAGGAAGACAAGGCTAAATTTGATATTCTACCACCACCAGGAAGCATGCATAGAAAAAAAAAGATCAACACAGATAAATATTTCTGTGCAGCATCTGGCTTTCCCACCTTGTCAACTTTGGTATCACCAATGTCAGCCAAAACCACTCCTGGCCTCCATGTATATGTGCATGTAACACACTTGTCTTTGTATATATATCCACTCCAAAAGAGGGCAGGGTCAACACAAAAATATACATCTCTAGTAACTGAACTAGTAACTACCAATTAAAACTGATTTCTTGTAAAATAAGATCCCACCATCTGCAAATACTAACCATTCTGTCTCACAAATGCATACAGGTAGTCCTCCCTTAATAGCCATTCATTTAGCGACCATTCAAAATTACAACAGTGCTAAAAAGGTTTCTTATGACTGGTGCCCAAAGTTACAACCATCACAGCATCCCTGCAGCCATGTGATCATGATCCAGGAGCTTGGCAACCAGCTCACACTTATTATGGTTGCAGTGTTCTGGGGTCAAGTGGTCAGCATTTGTGATCTTCCTAGCCAGCTTCTGGCAAGCAAAATCAATGGGGTACCGTGTAATTCACTTAATGACTGTGTGATTCCTTAATAACCACAATTCACTTAATGACCACAGTGATTTGCTTAATGGCTGCCACAAAAAAGGTCATAAAATTGGGTCCAGTCACGTGATGATTCGCTTAACAACCACATCGCTTAGTGACCTAAATTCAGGTCCCAATTGTGGTCCTTAAGCAAGAAGTACCTGTACTACAATACACACACACACATCTCCCTCCTTTCAGCAGATACAACAAGCTGATAAGAAATATTGGCTGATAAGAAATATGAAGCAGGTTTTGAAACCAGTTGTGATAAGACTAAGAGATAAAATTTTCAGGCAGCCAGCCAAGTTGGGGGTAGTCTTCTGAGGGAAGAGGGCATAATTGCAGGAAATTGAACAGGAGAGAGGAAGGGATGCTTGCATGATTTAATAGGTAAGAGGATAACCTTGTTGGTCTACTACTGCTGCAGCAGCAGCTGAGAAAAGGTGCCCTAGTGATGATTCTCTTTGGTTTCTTCTGCCCATCCTTAATAGCTGTGGCCAGAGGTAGGGGCTCACTGCCTAAACTCTCTCACAAATGGGGAGGGCTCATATGAAAGGTTTGCTTTGGGGCCCACAGAGCTCTACTTATGCTCCTGGGTGTTACTCATATTCACTTTTTGTTTCTTATACTTAAACCTACTTTCCTTCATTCAAACATACATTGTTCTATGAGTTATTTTAATGCAATTCTTTATATACAGCCCATCATAATCTCTAAATGAATGTTGTCATCAGTACATTTGAGACACTATGAATACACTGAGGTGCGTAGACAAAATTACTCAGTTTAACTATAGTGAGTTGGATGCATTATACTTACAGCATCAATTTGTTCCAATGAAATTTTCCCCATTGCATTTTCACTAGTATAATCTGGACCAACATATGCATGGCTATGATGTGGAAAAAGAAGAAAAGTAGTAAATGTTATTTTTAGAATTTAAAAAGGCGTTTTTGTTGTTACCATGGGAACCCAAGGCCAAGTATTTTTGTTTACATACATTTTAAAAGCAATATTTCAAAACTAGTATTCAAAAAATAAATACGTTAGATACTGACTTTAAAATAATTCCTCCTTCTTGGAGAACTTAAGTCTTTTTCTGATTACCAGGATACATTTATTTGGAACTATTTCTAACTATGAAGTTGTTCAAAACCACACTTTAGAAGAACATTAGACTTCAAGTAGAAGCAGATTATTTGAAATCTAATAAAGCATATGAAAACAATTGTTGAATACTTTTTTTTTTTCTTGGTACAATTCAGGTATAGACCTCTCAGATATTTCCTATTCTAGCCATAGAACGTAATCTTTTCTTAAATTTTTCAAATGATAATATTTCTACTAAGATATGATTTGGCAGTATGAGGAACTACAACACAAAGATAAATAATAAGCAGCTATAGTTTCATTATTATGTTTTTTTTTAAATTCTGAGTAAAGGGGAATATTAAAATAAAGCCCCTTTTTCAAGGGCAAAATATCATTTTCCAAGTGTGAGCCAATGATTACCTAAGGGAGAAGTCTGAAGTGTTGACTGGAAACAGATGTTGCATGACAACAACATTGCTAATTCTCTGCCATGGCAAGCTCATTATGTAAAAATAGTCCTATTACTTCTTTGTTACTGAAGTTGATGTACAAGTATTGAAATAGTATCTTTGAAGATAAAGTTGGAATGAATCCATTGCCAAATTAACCATTTGTAAATAAAAAAGCTTATTAATATCTATTTTCTTCTTGTTTATTTAAATCACTTTTATTGCCTTCCCCTGTAAATTCCATGGTCTGCAGAGTCTAAAGAACAGCAGAGTGCTCCTCTTTATATGTATTCCTCACCCTGTACCCAGGATTAGATTATTCTGCATGCAGAGCTGATGTGACCAATTATGGGAGGAGATAAAATGATCCCATTCTGCCTTTGGCCCAGAATACAGGACCAACTTATCCATTAGGCACAATAGGCACAGTGCCTAGGGACCACAAAAATGTCTTCATATTTTTTAAATCAGAAAGAATAAAAATTAAATTCCCTCAGCTTCCCAAACCAGCCCTGATTTGTACAAATGAGGCAAACTGTGTGGATGGTGGACTTTCAGAAGTATATTCTAATAACCTCTTCTCCCCCAAATGGACCACTAAATTGAGGTTTTACTGTATTTTCATTACCTGAGGTGACTGAGCAGGGGTTGAAGTCTCTCGTCAGTTTGTACCATAGGCAGTGATCGTGCTGTTAGCTAAAAATGAGCAAAAAAGTTGCTGAGCAATAACTAGATGTATCTATGTAGATATAGATATACACACACACACACATATACATACTGTACATACATACATACTGTACATACATATACCCACACAGAGAGTTACCAGTGAGACAGATACCTTATTTCCTAACTCATCCACCTGATCCAGAGAATCAGCTTTTCACTGTGCCTTTTACCTTCTCTTTCTTGCTGATCCTGTTCTCAAGAAACAGCAGTCAATATCTCTTTTTCTATCACTATTATCATTACCTCCCTCATGAAAGCTGGTCTGGGACTGTAATAAAGAATTAATCTGTCCATTACATCCTCTATAAGTACCATTTGTTTACCATTTATATTATTCATTTATTTAAAATATTCTTGACACTTCTAAGAACAAAACCCTTCCTAGGTACAGTAACTTACATTACTTTGGAAAAAAATAAAACACTAATAAACCTAACATGCCATAAAGTTAAACACTCTTGTATTGGGGGGTGGGACAGGCCAATAGCTGAAAAATATACTGAATGCCACCTGTTGCACTTGGTGTGATAGACCAACTTATAAATAGACCTTGTCATATTCAGGCAGTTTTATTCTACTCCACTTGAGGCTTTGCTGAGATGATCTTGGTGGTTCAGGACAGCAAAAAAAAAAAAAAGCAACTGGAGGACCATCAGAAGCAAAGGGAAAAGCAGGAAAGCTTTGACATGCTTCTCCTTTAGAAAGGGAAACAACCATCTATATTTATAGTGCTACTACATTATTTTTAGAATATTTGCATTAAGCCATGGACCTGAAAAACAAACCAAACTCAAAACATTCTGAGCTTTGGAACAGCTTTCCAAGTATTCTAAATTGGGAACAAAATGCCCCATATTCTAAAGGTTTGCCCTCTACTTGGGACAAAAACCATATGACATTCTCCCAATCCTCTTCTAGATCATCCAAATGCTCTCTAGCAAACTTCAG